ATGCTGCAGAATTATGACTTTATAAAATATGAGTTAGGTTGTATGTAACCTCAGCATTATTTCCGTATTCTGTTTATCCTCGAAATCTCACAAATCAGGTTTAATCCCCTGTTTTGCATTTCTCATTCATGCTTTGAATTTTTGCAATGTTTTTCTCGATTATTCAGTAGCAACTGTTTCTACTATTGATATTTAAAGATAGTACACCCCCCTCCATAAGTTTGGCAAATTAAGTTCCTCTCTGGATTATATGTTAATTAGGGCGTCATGTTTGGCAATTAACAAAAACCATCAGATCTATTTTAAATTTCTTAACTACTGCAATAAAGAATGGAATTAAGATTCAAACATTAGCATGCTTTAATAAGCAATCAAATGAAAATTTCCAGTTACCATACTTATGGAGGGGAGTGTAAATGAATTTTATTTCTAAAAGATGCTTTATCTTTGGACGGTTACCAGAGCAGAATTTTGATTTCATTATTCATATGTCCAGAAATATCTAGAAAGATGTCTAAATTGGTTTTGTACATGTAATTTCCCATCAATTCATGTAGTCCATTTGTTTAGCAAAGATGGTCATTCAAGTGTTAAGTCATTCAAGTGTTAAGTCCATTGAAATAGCAGAAGTCTGTCAAATATCATCAGAATATAAGTCATCCTCCTATGCAGGTATCCAGAATCCGTATCTCCCTCTTCCCCCTGCTATAACCAATTTGGAAGCGCCCGATTAAACTGAATCACGTGATCTTATTATGCGCAATGACTTATACATGATTTCTGTTGCAGTGTTGCGACAGCAAATCAGATTGCGAGTTGTTAATCAGGGAAATGCTAACTGCTTATCGCAGGGCGTAAAAAATTAAAGAATATAGTCTGGATTTTGAAGCCCTGTGATCGGAGGTTGAATATAAGCAAGATATCATGTTTTTGAAATACCATGTAGAAATAGCGCGTTGAAGGGAATGTAGATTGTTAAACATGTAAAAAGACATCTAATTATTATTATGTCCCCCCACAAGTGGTAACATTTTTTGGTGTTTGGTGGTTGGTATTCAGTGGTCGGCAGTCGGCATCTGTAACAAATGGCAGGTGCTGACATTTTGCATGTAAATGCCTTGTTTAATAATGTCTGGGATACTATAAGTATGCATTTAATATGAATTGTTTTTCCTAATTAGACAGAGAATTATCAATAAATGTAGCTTATAGCCAACCATTTAAACTGACAGGTAATAATCTCTGGATTTATAGACTGATTTTTTTTCCGACATCGAATTAGTCCATGTATCCTGATATATGATGAAGTGCGATTCTCCTGAGATTTTTTCCAGATAAACAACAACCATCAAAAATATTTGGTCATCAAAAATATTTGTCATTGGTCATTCTATTTTTTGTGCAATATCAGAGAATCCAATTTCCATGATTTCATATGTAGTTTGGTCTCATTTTTATTAATTTTTTATTGCCTTTTTCCATTTGGGATTTTATTTGATATGACGTGCTTATTCATTTATAGCAATGCCCCGCGTAAATGAAATCAGTGAGGATGGGTCGTATTGATATTAAAACATTGGCCCCAACGGTGGGATCTAATCGGAATTAATGATATAAACTAATAGCCGACGCTCACGTTTTATGCTCTCTCTGATAATCATTTATATTTTATTTATTACCTTACTCTTGCTACGTTAGTCTAGTAACACCCCCCCCCCCCCCCGACCGTTCTACTATCCCATTTTGTAGGAGGGGTGTGTGAGTGAATGGGGGTGGATCACAAACGATCAATGTGAACCCCCTTCCCAATCTATAGTACATTGGGGAAGGGGATGGGGGATTAATTCGGGATTGATGAGCTATTAATAGTTTTTGATTGACAGGCCATAATTGAATATTTAATGGAATCTCCATGGAAACCAAAACATTGTTTGAAGATTCAATATCCTGACTTATGTTGGATGTATTCTGAGACTAATAAGATTTAATTAATTATACTGAAGTTACTTACGAACTTGAATCAAGTTAACTCTTGTTTGTTTCCCAATTTGAAGGAGAAATGTAAATTATTTTGTACCAAGACACCTGGGGTTAACAGCCTTGCAGACTTGGGAAAATCTGTTTCAACTAATCTTCTCTTGTTATGATATTTCATTTGATTTCTCTCTAAAACTTGTTCATTTGCTTGTTTTTAAATAATTTAGAGATATAGACTCAATGTCCATTCATTTTTTCCTTGCGGATTCCATTCTTTTCTCATGGATTGTTTTGAGAAAATCAAAATGTTCATTTGACATTATGTTACATATAAGGTGATAAAGTCATTCAACTTTGTAACTACAAAATGTGTAGGAGTCGATATCAATGATTTATAGTTCTACTTGTTTGTACCTAGAGTACCTTGATTTGCAGTAAAACCTGTATATCTGAACACCTCTGTATATCTGAACACCTTACTAATCTGAACACCTCTCAATATGAACACTTTTCCTAGTATCAGTATTGTCACTTCTCTCTTATATTAAGTTGAATGAAATGTGAACACCTGCCAATTTGAACACTTTTGATTGGTTCCAGAGGTGTTTTGATTAAACAGATTTTACTGTACTATATATGATATTATTTTTGGATAGTACGTTCTCCTTTTAGACTTATCTCCAAGTTATATTTTGTCGAAAAAAGAAACATATTTTATTCATCATTTATTTATTTATTATTTATTATATTCAATGTCCAAACAGGAATATTTGATAGTTTATAACTAACTTTTATATCGTTTCACTTCATACAATCATTCAGTTTTTTTTTGTTGTTACTTTAATCAACCGTAATGAGAAAATATCGTGTTTCAGTACATTTGATTCGTATCAGTAACATCTAAATAATAGACATATATGTAAATGTATTGGAATCTGAGTTGTTATTGACTAAAGCATGAAATTATATTTGTAACTGAGCTATGTTTACATATTGAACATGTGTACTCTATAATTGACGGAATAAGTTATCAGTAATTGATGGAAAATGGAATATATAATCCACAATTGACGGAATCAATTACAAGACCTGATACAAATTCGATAAGTTAGTAATTTGCATTACAGAAACCATTTAGTAAACTTATCATATTCTGTCAAACTGGATCTGTCTTTTCTACATTGATTTAATGGTTTCACATAAAGGGAAGAAAGCATATAGGGAGAGGGGGGGGGGATTTTTGATACGATGTCAGAAATTAGCCAGCTAACATACCAAGTTAGCTAGACTACTTTTTCTTCCTTAATTAAGCTACTTTTTTCCATATCAGAATATTAGATAGCATGTATATTCACAAAGAAATGTCGTAACATCTTTTTTGGTCACATTTTTTAATCTGCTATTGACTTCCGTGTTAAAATCTTGAAATGTGAACACCTGCCAATCTGAACACTTTTTTCTGGTCCCAGAGGTGTTCAGGTTTATAGATTTTACTGTAAAGTGTTGAAAAAGATAGAGAATCGAGCCTGTAGCCAGGGGGGGGGTTCGATGGGTTCGAGCGTACCCCTCCCCTGGCCAAAAAATCTTTCAGAATCATGCAGTTTTTCGCCATTCTGAGCACTTTTAAGTGATTTTGGCCATTTTTGGACCAAAATTGTCACAAGTGAACCCCCCTGAAATTTTTCAAAAAGTGAACCCCCCCTTGGCAAATCCTGGCTACGGGCCTGAGAACTGTCTCAACTTCATTATGGGTCAATGACCAATTAACCACATTTTTTGTGTCTGTGGGCCAGACTGAATAACATAAATAACAGATGAATCTGGAAGTTTTGTTTTTGTTAGTCTGCCCTCTTAAAGAAATGTTTACGACTTTGTCAGAATCATTCTGTTAATCTTAATCAGGAATCTCAATTGTTAATGAACTTTTAAATAACTGGGAACTAAAATTGAGTTATACTAGTACACATTTTGAGTTAATCAGCTGTTATTTTTGAGTACTTTTTGAGTTATGAGTTTACGCATTTTGAGTTTTGTAAGGTACTTTTTTGAGTAATACATCTGTACAGTTTTACATTAGTATATTATTACATATTTTGAGCTTGCATATTTTGAGTTTTTATTTACATTTTGAGTAAAAGTGTTACACATTTTGAGTTTTGTGGGTGACTTATTTTGAGTAAATTACTAATACAGTTACTTATTTTTAGAGAGATTTAAATAATGTGTTATATTTTTGAACTATACAGTTTGCAGGTGCTTTTTATATTCAAATTTTGATCTTGTTTTACAGTTTATCAATGAGAAATTAATCAAGAAAGAATTAATCAAGATTTCCTCTAAACCATCGCAATCATTAATTTCACATGCCTCTTTAACAAACACAAAACCATCTAAGCTCACAAGGGATTGAGAAATCATCCCGCTTCCTTTGATTGATAGATTCTTTAAGTCATAGATATACTCATCCCATACCTCTAATCAATATATAAGATTCGCCACCTATTGAATAAAACAAGTCTTTTGGCAATCTATAATTCCCTGATATACTCACATATACATTACTGTAATTTAATCTGGGGTGGCCATAGCAATGCTCATACAAATGAGCTGCATTCTCTACTTCTATTTCAAAAGAGATTCCTTCGAATATTAGACAACCAGCCAAGAATGGCACATTCAGCACCTCTCTTTAAGAAGTACAACATTTTACCTGTAAACCAGGTGTATGAATTTAATGTTTCGAATTTTGTCTATTGTTGTATTTACCAGGAACCTGTTTATTCAAAACTATATAATGATTATTTTAATCAAAATGAATATTTTCACAATTATCCTACCAGAAGAAATCATGATTTACATGCTAGGGCTTACAAAACAAAAATATGGTTATATTCAATCAAAGTACAGGGTCCAAGAATCTGGAATTCTATCTCAGATCATGTCAGATTTTTGCCTTCTTTACTTCAATTTAAAATGAATAGAAAGAAAAACTTAATTGCTGAAATATAATTATATATTGTCACCTCATCTACCTTTCCATCCATACATTTTTTCCTAAACTGAAATAGAGTTAACACACATTGGCAGCCACAACCCACCACCACTAGCCATAAGTTAGATGCATACATATGCTATCAATATGTATAGTTATTATTAAATTTTCATTTTTGTCACTAAAACAACTTCATACACTTGTTAAAGTGTCAGTTGATGTATAATTTATGTATCATAGTTTGACAATAAAGTATGTAACTAACTAAAAAAAAAAAAAAAAACTATTGAAATGATAGTCTCTCTTTCCTGCTACATTTATCTTTTTTGTGGCTGGTGTTCGGCAGTTGGTGTTCGATCTTCAGTGGTTGTTGTTTGGCATCTGTAACAGTGTTCAGTGTTTGGTATCTAACAAATGGCAGGTGGTGACATTTTGCATGTTTATGCCTTATTCTGTTCTGGGATTGTCCAGGTTTTTTGTGGCTTTGTGTAAGACTGACATTTGCAACCTGTTCCATGTGTTCCATGTGCTTTATCAAAAGTGCTTGACCAGTACGCCTTAAGGACAACAGGGCATCTGGAGGATTAAGTAGGTGGATAATTGCCTGTAGATCCATTGAAGCTAGAGTATCTAAAGATGTTATATTCAATTCACAGGTTGGTTCATCAATGAGCAGGTCTCTGACACATACCCTGTTGATCTATAGAGATCTGAAGATTGAAATTGAGGAAATTAGGCCCATGGTGTTATTATCTCTCATTTAAGGATAAATTGGGCTTTCAAAGAAGCCACAGTTTATCTAGAGTGGCCAAGTACATTTTGTGGATGAAGCTCTCTTTTAAGAATCAAAATACAAGCAATCACTTCAGCTCACAAAACTGGGATAGAAAAAGTGTTCACATTGAGAGGTGTTCAGATTAGAGAAGTGTTTCGGATAATCCGATTTTACGACTATAGCTTTATCAATTTATCATACTCTCTCATGGCCATAATTAAAACAATGAGTTTGGGAATGGAAGGGATTGGGATGGGGGTTATATTTCCCTTTCCTCTAAATCCCTTTCTGTTATTTTTTGGAGGATCAATCCACATGATTCAAAGTATCTCTCTCACTCTCCAAAACATCAGCAATCTTCCCTGGTTCCTCATGTAAGATTAGACTCTGCTCTGGGGATGGGTGATAATTGGTATCTCCTCTCAACTGGCACTTTGTGTATTTAGCCCATGTGGGTCCAGCTTGGGGCAGTTAGGGTCAACTCTGTGGGGTATTTTAGATAAAGCAGTTTCTTTAGTTTAGGGTTAATCCCCATAGCTATGATCTGAGACTGGACACTAATTTAATATTATTGAATTAGCTTTAATATGGTATATTAATATGGTATTCCACTTTCTGTTTCTCCATTTTTTTCCTTACTGAGTACTCAATCATAATTAACCTATTTTTGATTGACATATCTCTATATCTCAAACAAAAAATCTCAGTATTTTATCATTTTTAACAAGGAACAATGGGGGGCAGGGGGGTGGTATGTAAATTTCCAGCTTTCAACAGGGTGTATAACACCTGGTTTATCTTGGAGGAGATAACTGAACTGATGAGGACAAATAATCAAATATAAAAAAAAAAAATTCTTTAAAATGAAAAAATAAAAAATAAAATCAAAAATATTCAAATGAATTTGAAAAAAAATCTATAAAAAAATCTAAGAGAGTTTATTGAAAATTATTACTTGATATTATTCTCTTTCTCTTACTGTTTTTCGGTCTGTTCTGTCTTCCTCTTTTCACTGAAAAACAGAAGATTTTTGCACTTTTTTTCCCCTGGTTATAATTAATAATGTTTGTTTCATCTAAGTAGATGAGTTGACTGACTTCCTGCACCTTTTCTGCCAGTTTGACTTAATTATCATCACGGACTCAACTCTACGCAGCTTACAACGTTTCTCCTGTTTACAAGATCGTGATGAATTTCATATTTTGTTTTTAACTGTACCTGTTACTTAATAGTGTTAAATTGGTTCATTATGAGACATTTTGTCAAAAAGCTTTTTAACAGTAACAAAACAGTTAAATCTGCTGTGTTTCTGATATCAATATATTCTTTGTATTTGATCATTTATTCTTTTTTCTTATTCTTCGCTATTGTTATGTTATTTTAACTCATTCTCGATGGATTTATTTTTGATGGTTTTCAAGAAATATGAAAACAAAACATGCAATATAAGACAGTATATTGCACAGCCAACAGAATTATGAAAAACTGTATGCAATATTAGACAGTATAATACACAGCCACAAGAATTATGAAAACTCTACATGCAATACAAGACAGTATAATGCACAGCGACGAAAAATCGAGTGATCCTCTATTGAATCAAGCTGTTTCTAAACCAGCCACTTTCTGGGGCTTTTCCCAAGACTTAAAATAGCTTTTCACAATCTCTTCCCTCCTCTCCAATCTCATTCTTAATATTTCATTAGTTCTATATAATTCTTTGATTGCTCCATATATCACAGCAGCTGTTCCGATTTGACTCTATCAGTTCTGATATTATATAGTTAGAAAATGACATTTTAGTTTACAATGTAAGATAACAAGTTTTAGCCAAGATATGAAGTGGTCATTTCAGGATTAGTCAGCCATTCTTGACACAATAAAAAATACAGTTTATGACACAACCTCGAAAATCCTGATAAACTATTATATATCATTTGGTCTCAGCTATTCTTAATACAATAAGTAATGCAGTTTATGACACGACCTCGCAAAAAATCCTGATATAGTATTATATAATCATTTGGTCTCAGCCATAAAGAATACAGTTTATGACACAGCCTTCGGAAATCCTGATTCACGACCTCGCAAAAAATCCTGATAAAGTATTATATATCATTTGGTCTCAGCCATTCTTAATACAATTAATAATACAGTTTATGACACAGCCTTCAATAATCCTGATAAAGTATTATATAATCATTTGGTCTCAGCCATAAAGAATACAGTTTATGACACAGCCTTCAGAAATCCTGATTCACCATGATATATTAATTGTTCTCGGCCATTTTCTACCCTATAAATAATACAGTATATGACACAGGTGCGGCAATCGTGACATACTATGATTTATCATTTGTTCTCCGCTATGTTTCTAATAATAGTCTAAAGACACAATAAATAATACAGTATATGGCAAAACCTCTATAGATAGGGTTATGATAACCTTGTTATATCATTTACTGTACTTCTACTTAATTTGGCGCTACTTAATATGGTGGATTTGCTGCTTTGATGAACATTTGGTGGCTACTTCATTTGGCGGATTTGCAATATTGAAATGTATATACATGTACTTTACATATTTACGATTGAAATAATGAATTTGGCGGCTTCTTGATTTGGCGGACTTTAACAATCTCAGCTGGGTATAATGGTTACTTCAATCATAGAAATTTTCGCATCTTTGCATCAGACTGAATACAAGAGGTTGCCAGGGAAACTAATTGAAGTAGGGTGGAGTTGCCATTGTTATATTGTGGCATAATAAACAATAGAATTCCTAAGATACTAAAAACCACTTGCTTTTAGTTCATGTGTATGGTATATGTTTTTTTGTAAAAAACAAATGTTGAATAGATGGCAGTATATACTGAACTAAAATGTATTTTGAAGTTCACCGAGTTGAAATCTGAATTTTTTACTTTTGGTGTGTCTAGTACAGTAAAACCTGTGTTTGTATTCATAGAACACTTTGTAATCTGCAAAAGTTGTTTCTTGTAGACAGGTACTCCTTACAGAGCGGTTAATTTCAACATAGCGTGTAAATCAATGGGGCTGCCTTTCTGAAAAGTGTTCTTTATAAATAGGTGTTCTTTACTGAAAGGTGTTCTATCCATCTGACAAGTTTTACTGTACTTGTTGTTGAGTAAGTTATGTCACCAAAATATATATTCCATTCTGTTTCTCTCTTTTCACTTTATTTCATGTTAAAATCATGAAATGATCATTTGAGACTTACCTGAGTTAATTGCATCTTTGCTTACCTGTAGCCATGGAAATGACAGGTGCGTTTCTCATTCAAAAAACAGACATGAAAATGCTTTTATCATAAAATAATATAAAAAGGAATTCATAAGTAAGACAAATATGCGAAGGCAAGGGTGCATGTTTTAGATTATATAGAAATAAATAGAAACGTTCTTTCTTTAGTAAGTTTGAGAAAATATTTAAAAAAATGTAAAACTTTCTTGGAAAGTCAATCTCCCAGGTAAGTGTCAGGTTACTATGACAACATGACCAATCACAGATATATCTCCCCAGGTTACTACGGCAACCAGATCAAAGCAACATATACCTCCAAGGCATGGAACTGACAACAACTGTTACTCCTGCAGTCACGAAAACAAGCCAGTCAAAATATTTGTCATTGATTATACATACTGATCAGGAGGTCATGACTCAGTGCATCTCGTTAAACGAGATTTTGATAAATTGGTCTCGGAGTCTGATCGCATTCACGGATTATCACAGATTTACAATTTTGGGATAATTAATTTAAATTGTGTGTGTCATCCCCAATTTTGAATGTTTGCTGATAAATACTTATATCCATTCTAAGTCATTATGATACCAAATAAGGAGCCCTAGTAACCATAGTGATACATTTGTTTTTATTAGGTTTTTACAAATTGGTCTCTATGGAATGAGTTTTACTCAGGCATGGAGCCTGGTGGCTAAGAAATTAATTTATTGAAAAATGAAATAGAAGAACACCTTCCAAGTAAAACACTTTTTTAATTCAGAAACGCATAACTTAATATAAATTAAACCTTTGTAAACCTTCTATGTGGAGCACCTCAATAAGTGGAACACCTCCAAGTGGAACATATCCAAGTGGAACACCTCCAAGTAGAACACTTTTTTGAAATACCAAATTTGTTCCACTTATAAAGATCCCACTGGTTTGGTTTCATTCAAAGACTAATATACTACTAAGCTCTGACATTCTGGGCAATAAGCCGTCACATTAATTTAGCGAATGAATTATGAAAAATCTTATATATGACCCCAAGGCGTACGGAAGTCATTCGCTAATACAGGATATAATGATATAATCGAAGAGAGTTCTTCATCTTCAAATGCTTTGAGCGTACTTCAGAAATGATAATTATACTTAGAGTTTCCTTGGTAACAAAGGGTATAATTATTTTAGATTAAAGAGTTTATATTTTCAATTGAATGGAAGAAAATTGTAATAAGTTCAATTTACACTATAGATTTTCTGGCTATTGATTGGAGCCTGAAAAGTGATTAATGGCTTATATAAGTGATTAATATATCTCATAAGTGATTAATATTATGAGTTATTATCATGACAGCTAGGGACCATTCATTCATAGTTATCCTAAAATGATTGATCTTTTTGAGAATTACATGAATTGTGGAAGATTAACAGATCATCAAAATATTACTGTACTTCTACTTTTGGCGGACGTTTTAATTTGGCGCCAAATTATCAAAGTCAACGAAATTACTAAATTTCCCAGTAATTTTAGTACCATGTAAATTAGTACCAGGGTATATTGTTATATTGTAAATCTGCGAAATTATGTAGCCACCAAATGTTCAAAACGGCAAATCCACCAAAACAAGTAGGGCAAAATTAAGTAGAAGTACAGTAGTTTTATCATCTTTATATAATACTGTAAACTTGTATTCATGAACACCTCTCAAATCTGAACATTACACAATGTGAACACTTTTTTTCTTTTCCAATTTTTTCCCATTGACTAACATGTTAAAAATAACATGAAATGTGAATCTGCTAATTTGAACATTTTCGACCAGTCCCAGTGGTCAGGCCCGTAGCCAGGATTTGCCAAGGGGGGGGGGGGGTAAATTTTCAAAAATTTCCAGGGGGG